GTGGGAATGAGAGAGAGAGAGAGAGAGAGAGAGTGTGTGTGTATGAGAGAGAGTGTGTGTACGTGTGTGTGTGTGTGTGTGTGTGTGTGTGTGTGTGTGTGTGTGTGTAGGGAGGGTCTCATCTGTTCCTCTTGTTGCTAAGGAACATATAAGCTAGAGTTTAAAAATAAATGGAGAGTGGGTGGGCATATGCAGTGACTCCTGTCTTTTTAGGAACCAGAGCCCTTTACAAAAAGCCTTTAAATAACCATTTCTGGAGGCAGATTATTCATTTTGCTGACTTTTACTTTGTTAAGTAAAATAAACTCCTTTATATACCCCTAGACTTCCCCTCATTATCTCTCCTTTGTTGGCTGTTCTTATTTTTTTGGGGGGGATGATTTTCCCACAAGAATTTTTCCTTTATCTCAGAATCTGCACCCCAAGAGCAAATAGTCCCCGTAGACTATAAAGTGAAAGGTTTTAGCAGGCAATGCAAGCTATCTGGCACTTTTCTGTTAAAATTACTACTTCCTTTTTCTTTGCAAATTATGGTGCTGTAACAGATACATATGTGTAAATGACTATATAATATGTAGGAACTCTTTTTTAAAACTGCTGCATTTTAAGTCAGTAAAATGGAAAGGGGGAAAAAACAGAAAGACACAGAGAAGGAGAGAGGGAGAGAAGGCAGCTGACATTTATTGTGTTTGTCACAGCACATTGTATCTTCTTTTGTGTGCATGCGTGTATAAGAGTAAGCACAGGTGTGGGTACTTGTGTGTATATGTGCATGTACATGTTAATGTGATATTGCCTTTTTAAAATCTCTATTTATTGAGGCAGGATCTCTCAGTGAACTTGGAGTTGTCTGACTCTGGCTAGTCTAGCTAGCCAGCTTGCTTCAGGAATAAATACCCTGTCTCTGATTCCCAAGCTCTGGGATTACAGGTGGCTACCATACCAGCTCAGGTTTTAAGTAGATCTTGGATCTGAACTCTGCTCCTCATGCTGGTAGAACAAGAGCTTTATTTACTGAGCCTTCTCCCCAGACATGTATATTGCGTCTTATTTGAGCTTCATGGTGGTCCTACGATAAGACTGGACTATTTCTGTTGTACAGAAAATGAACCTGAAGCATGGGGCTTGCACTGGAGGTAGATCTGACTCTCTAGGACTTTCTCTTTAGACTGCATCTTTCTGGTTGGTTCCTTAAGAGTCCGTGCTAGGTTTGAAGTCTTTCCACGTATGTATACATGGACAAATGTGTGTGTGTGTGTGTGTGTGTGTGTGCGTGCCCTGACCTTTCACCCCACCTACAAGATTCTTTTTACTGAGACCGGTTCTGTCTGCATAGCTCTGGCTGTCTTGGAATGCACTAAGTACACTAGGCAGACCAGGTGGTCTCAAACTTACAGAGGTCCGCCTGCCTCTGCCTCCTGCGTGCCGGAGTTAAAGGCCTGCGCCACCACACCCAACTCTCCCTGTTCCTCCTTCTGTGTTTTGTTCTTTGGGCTGAAGCTCTTTGCCTCGGTCTCTAGGGCTAGTGCCTTCAGAAATCCTCTACCATTTCAGAATTGGAAATGAATATAAATTCACGAAGCTCGGCAAACTGTTTGGTTTTGCTTCTGAGAACAAAACCACCTCCGAGACACCTGCTATCTCCACGAAGACACCCATGTTAGAAGTTTATGCACTTTTAAAAATCATTTCTGCAGGTGCTGTGTAGGTGCAGCAAGCTTACTGCAAAGCTGCTGCTTTTCTGCTCTGAGCAGCACACAAGGAAAGAGAAAGTTACAAGTTTGCTTGTAAGGAGGCCTTGGCAAGTCGTATGAAGTCTCCATGCATGGGCTTCAGTTTCTTCATGAAAGCCATGGCGGTCACACTTGACCTTTCTCACAGCAAGTTTCTAGTATAATATAGAAGCAATGTCAAAGAACATGTGACCTCATAGAGTAGACAGCTAGTGGAAAAGAGTCGTCGTGCCTGTTGTCTGTGATGACAACAACAGAGTATAGTTGTCCCTTGCTGGCTGAGGGGGATTAGGAGCACTGTGCATATAGGAAAACCTGCAGACACTTAAGCCCCTTCAGTAAAATAGCATCACATTCACATATAACCCACCCACACATTTCCCTAAACCTTAAATCATCTCCATTACTTAAAGCTTCCAACACAGTGTTAATGGGATCTAAGTAGTTGTCAGATACTATTATAAAAGCAGTAATGACAATATGGCATGTCCTGTCC